ATACCTTTAAATTTAGGAGCGCATGCAATTAAACATCAGAAAATTTAAAAGTTCTTTTAAAAATTTGATTCTGAAAATTCGCTCTTGCAACAGAGAACCACATTACCACATTATGCGTAAAAATGAAAACCAAAAGGGTTCCGTACGGTCTCTAAAATCCACGGCGAGCCGCTGGGTAGGGAAATTGTACGAGGCCCGGTGTATATGTGACTAGCTAGTCATTACCCACTGCGGTGCTTGTTGCGTCATTTTCTTATCCTACCTCCTACTCTTACATGTAACATCTAGGCTACTAAATAAGCATATTTTTTTGCCTCACTATTAATTTTAGAATTGGTCATTTTCCAACAAACACATATAAAAGTATAACCATCAGTACGCCAGTGTCTATAGTATAATCAATACCAAAGGGTACTGAATTCGATAGAATACGAACATAAGTTTTTATTTTTCCGAAATCTTAATTTGCTTTCGTTTTATAGTATTTCATAATAAACAGTTTTAGGGCAAAACGAGCATAGAGTCAGCCTCCACATATTCTGTGCGGAACGTTTACGCACTAGTGAACATCTATGGTGCAAGGGTTTGGCCTCTTCCATTTCGCTTGGTCAGGGGTGTCCCAATGAAAAAGAGTTATATATTTTGTTTTTATTAAACTGAAATGCAAAGTACAATGACCTTTTAACCGTAGACTAGAGAGTTATTGCCTATACAATACATCCTTCAATATTCCATTGCAATTTACAAACGGCAAAACACCCGACTGCACATTGCATGCACTGTATGTGTACGTACTAGTGCTAGTAGGGACTTTTAGATTTGCACAACGACAATGTGGATTGCTACGGCCGACGTCCTTTTAATGCACTGCCTTGAATGTACGTCACACGTATAAGTCCACGCAAATCTAAAAGTCCCTAGTGTTACGGGTATACAGCCTTTTGCCTTGGCTTCACAACTCAACTATTGACGAAATGGTACGGCTCAAATCAGGTTTTCCATACAGTCTTGCTACAAAGTGTACATGCAATGTACTTGGAAATCCACTTCATACAACCCAAATCATATAATAATGCTGCTGGAAATCCGACATCCAACGTCCTTTGACAAGACATTAATCTACATTTGCCACTCTCCACCAAGGTGTTAAATGGGTACCGATAAGAAGGGATTCCTTGAATGCTATGAGCGTCAAAATCGGTAGCCTAGCAGAGCCGGGGTAATATTTGAGCGCCTAGAGCACCTTGCATGATGGATATGTGCACTATATAAATGTCCAATATTATTATGATTATCACCCTCATTGACATGTTACACGAATATACATATTGTTTTAGTATACTTACTTTACTGTTGTACCCCTACTGTTATACCATATCAAGAAATAATTATTAACACAAAATACCTACTTCAGATTAGAGCATATAAGAATTTTAAAAAAATGGAGGGTATGTAAGAAGAAAGAGAGAAGAAGAAGAAGAAGAAGAAGAAGAAGAAGAAGAAGAAGAAGAAGAAAGAGTATTTAAAAGTATATGTTTGTATATTTATCATGACCATGTATATTATATCAAATGTATACTAAAACAGGGCCCTATGCATGTCAATTATATGTTGTTCCTATGTTCATATGTTGAAGCAAGATTGTTCATGTGCATATAAACAATTATCCTATATGGACATAATAAAGAAATGAAATTAAATTAAATGAATTTAAATATACTTTCAGTTTGAATTAACTTGTTAAAACATAATTTAATCAGGTGCTATGAACAGTTTATAACATGGAAATTACAACATGTACCACCACCCATCCTGACTCCCATGAACACACCACCGAGTCTCCAGGGAAAGTTACAATGCTACAATAAAAAAAATTCCTGTTCACTCATGCATAAGAGTTTGGTTTAATAAACCATGAAATTCACTCAGCAAATCATGAATGTATCATATCACCCTGAATTTTGTAAGCTCCAAAGGATACCTTTCTGCGGGTAGTGAGCACCTTTTTTTGTGGCCCTTGACAATTTGAAAAATCGCACCCCCCCCCCCCTTGGGCGCCAGGGGGGGGGGGCATCTTAAAAAAAGTAAACTTAAAGGGCCCTCATGGATCCGCCTCTGCCCCATAGGGTGCAATTTTGCATCCTGCTTTGGGATGCAAACTTGCCCCCTAGAAGAAGCAGTGGTGCATCCCTAGTGTAGACGTCGAGCCCTAGTTTTTTTTTAAACCTAAGGCAAGCCCTGATTAATCAAAGACGTCGGGTAGTGAGCAATTTTTTTTTGACCCTCGAAAATTTGAAAAATCGCATCCCCCCCCCTTGAGCGCCAGCGGGGGGGGGGGGGGGGGGTGGCCCATCTAAAAAAAAAAAGGGTAAAATTAACGGCCCCCCTGGATCCGCCACTGCCCCATAGGGTGCAATTCTGCATCCTGCTTTGGGATGCAAACTTGCCCCCTAGAAGAAGCAGTGGTGCATCCCTAGGTGTAGACGTCGAGCCCTAGTTTTTGTTTAACCTAGGCAAGCCCTGATTAATCAAAGCGGCTTGGAAAGAGTTCGCAACCAATTAGTCTTTCATTATTTTGCTTTGCCTCACTATTTTTAAAGGCAAAAACAGAAAGGAATAGTTATAATAAGATGGGTAGAAGAATCCCTGCAATCTGATTGGTCAGTTACCATGAAATTATTTTTACTGGATGCATGCGATATCGGCGATTTCAAAAATTCCTTTTTTTTGTTTTTAATAATTTTTTTGTATATAATTTTTTTTTTAAATGATTTTTTTGATAATTTTTTTTTTTGGTGATAATTATTTGTTTTTCTTGTTTTTTGATAATTATAATATGTATACGGGGATACGAAAAAATTATTCTGGAATACGCTGACCTTGGAATACGCTGACCTTGCCAATTAAAGCCCGCTTTTTATTTTTTATCCTATTGTATCTTTCTAAAGACATAAACCCAGCCCTCCATGAGCAACTCATAGAAGCTTGTATGTGTCTACCAGATGTAATTTACTAGAAAAATAATCAGCGTCATAACCACATAATGTGAGAACGAGGTTAAACAATCTAATCACGTGCCAGGCATGTATTACAATAAAATATTCATTTCCTGTGGATCAACAATCGATGTATTTAAAAAAAAGGAAAGAAAAAAAAAACACAATAACACCAACATTATTATCATCACCACCCTCAGTGCGTATACAAAAAACGTATACCCGAATTTGGTAGATTCTCATTTTAGAATAATATCCTGTGTTACATGGAATTTTCTTAATTGTAAATATTAGCAAATTTTCTGTCTAATGATAACACTTTCATTACTGACTGATGACTGACCAGCAGCCGCTTAAAAGTGTTGCCAGAATACGCTTGTACCAAATTATTCGCATTTATTTTGAGCCCTTCGATAGAAAAGCTATAAAGTCAACTCAGACTTAAAGAAAAGACTAATTTATTGTATTCTATTCTCGCACCTCCTTGTTTATTAAAGGTAACTCTTTAAAGTCATTAGAAATGGACAAAGCTTACTTGGGATGCTGTCTAGTCGGGAAATAAAGAGGCGGTTTGGTTCAGATTGTTCTTAAAGCACCACAATTGGTGCAGATATCGACCATAGAATATATTCTTAAAATATTTGATGGCCGCCTAAAAGGTCGCCCCTGGGGCCGTCATTTGAGTACAATTGAAAACGGCCACCAGATATGCTGGAATACAATTGTATTTCAAGAGAAAAGGGCTAGAAAAATAATGAAATTGTGTACAATTACGAGGCTTATAAATGGAGAATCTTATTCTGATGTTAATTTAAAGACTCGGATGTCAATAAGGGCATTATGATAAAAATCTAAAATGGACGCCATTTCAGGTCATTGTTTATTTGAATGATACGATTTCTGTAGGTAGAGCATTTAGGTCCAGGGAGTGTGATTATGATGTTATTCCATTGATTTGATGTCAAGAAGGTCAAGAAGGTCAAATCCAAAATGGCCGCCAGATGAGTTTCAAATATTGAAATAGGATCCTGTGAAAGCTTGGATACATTCAATCACATTAACTCACTAGAGATTCACTAAAGCACAGCACAGAATAGAACTTTAAAAATGATTTGGATAACAATGTGACACATTTATATATGGCTATACGCACTTTTGGTTTATCTGCCTAAACTTGGTACGAGGATATTTTGACGACACTTAAAAAAAACCTGCGCTCAGGCATCCGCGGTATTACAAATTATGCATATAGTATCATAAGACAGAAACAAATTTACTCTTTACCGTGAAAAAGATTTCTAGGTTACATTGACAATGACTGTTTAATTTGAGCTATCAAAGTTGGGTATTATTTTTCTTTGATACGCACTGGCTATTTATTATTTACATGTTTGTCCAATGATGTAGTATCTTCTAGGCCTTGCAATCATAAATAATGAACCTCTGCCATGCCGTACCGACAAAAAGGGTGATTATAAGTTAAAATACTAGCACTCTCCTCCATTTTCAAGCTTTCTTCGCTAGTCACTCTCTTCCTTTCTTATTTGTTTTCCAATTTAAAATTCGTGCCGAAATGACATTAAGCTTACGCTGCAGCCCTTCCTATATCAAATATGCATTCAGCATGCAATCTTTACAACAAAAAAATGTCCTACTTATGTACACTTTTGCCCCCCGCCCCACAAAGTAGTGGTAATGTCCCATTAATGGACTAGGTAGGTTTGTTTTAATATATATTATACGCTAATATATTAATTCAACCAAAACAAATCAAATATGTTTTTATAACCTAACTCATATTTCTTATAGAAATTAATCATATGTTTCTCTGTATACTCTAGATAGCTGGGAGGTGGCACAGATAGGGGTGATGATGACAACGAATGACGTTTTGCGTATCGTCCTAACTCGAGAGATGACCGTGGGAGGAGTAGACGAAGGGAATTTCGAAGGGGTGTGACTAAAGGACAAGGAAGAGGACCTGTAGCGGATAGTGATAACGGCATGTCGATAAGACAGAACTGGAGGAAAGGAAGCCGTCAGAGAGGAGACGCCATGATGGATGAAAGCTTCAGGGGAGATGACTTCCGAGGAGAAGAAAGGGACACAGAGGAAGAGAGAGAAAGGGAACCTGATAGAGAGAGGGGAGCTGGAAGGGAAGTTGGATGCGAAAGAGGCGATAACAAAGGAGGCCCATTCCGCCAGGGTGGGACAAGTGGAGCTGTAACGGATAGAGATAATGGCATGTCGATAGGACAGAACTGGAGAGAAGGAAATCGTGATAGAGGAGACGCCATGATGGCTAAAAGCATTGGGGGAGATAACGACACGTGGAGAAGACAGAACTGGAGGGAAGGAAGACGTGAAAGAGCAGACGCCATGATGGCTGAAAGCATTGGGGGAGATAACGAAACGTGGAGAAGACAGAACTGGAGAGAAGGAAGTCGTGAAAGAGCAGACGCCATGATGGCTGAAAGCATTGGGGGAGATAACAGCAAGTGGAGAAGACAGAACTGGAGGGAAGGAAGTCGTGAAAGAGGAAACGCCATGATGGGTGAAAGCATTTGGGGTGATAACAGCAAGTGGAGAAGACAGAACTGGAGGGAAGGAAGTCGTGATAGAGGAGACACCATGATGGATGAGAGCTTCAGGGGACATAAATTCCGAAGAGCAGTACTGGACCCAGAAGGAGAGAGAGAAAAGGGGTATGGTGGAGAGAGGAGAGCTGATAACACAGGAGGCCCATTCCGCCAGCGCTACAACGACAGGCAACAAGACGGACCTCGATACGTTCCGGCTAGAGGCCGCGGTCAAAGAGGGGGTCACATGGATCAGAATGCAGCTACAACTAGGAGAAAGGGCTATCGAACACAGGAAAATACTAGGTAAAGTACCAAACCCTAAAGGAGTGAGTACCGTATCCGAGAATGGATAAATCACCTCCCTTCAAGATTTAAATATTTTTGTTTCCATATACCCTTATGAACCGATATATTCTCTTCTCCTACACCTGATAATCCGTTGCAATAAATTTGTCTGCAACAGCTAAATAGGTCAATATTATTGGTTTTTGCCGACATATACTTTTGCTACAATATTAGTCAGTTTAGTTATTTTGCAAACAGTTGACACACTTGTATAACGGTGACTTTTTTTTTTAAATTGCAATTTTATCAATCTTGAAATTTATGAAAGGGAGTAGGTAAAAATGAATAAAAGCTTTACATGGTATTTTCTACAATTTCAGATATGGACAGACCCAAGGAAAATACCCGAACAACCGAGGTTACTTCAGACCGCTTAGTTCCAGACTTCTCAGTGAAATACTTGAGAAAGACCCTACCGAGGCCGCTACAGAACTTGGATCCCTAAAAGGAAACCTTCGAGTCGGTCTCAATGAAGACTCGATGGATGAGGTACGACAGCATCTTTTTTGGGAGGCTCTAGCATTTATTTGCGGAGCTCTAGGTGCAGAACAAACAGTGATCATGCTCCTGACAATGTCCCTTGACTCCAAACTCTGTCGTCAGCATTTACTCACGTTTTTGACCAATCTCAGGCGTCCAGGAGAGAACATCGACGCAAGGCGGTTAAACCTTTTGAAGAATGTCATCACTGTCTTCCAATCAGCCATGCAAAGTTTGCCAAGCCGTGCTTCAGATCTCAAAGTTGCAGTCACTCTCATCTCCGATGCTGTAGCAGACATGGATGAAGACGACAAACGTGATGACATCATGGAGTCAATAAAGTCGTTGAGTAGTCACAATGAGGACATTGAAAAAGAAAGGGAAAGAAAGAGACAGATGGACGGCATTTCTAAGAACCCTCCTCCTGACGACTTCCGCCAGCAAGACATTCTTCCCACTGCCAAGGAATTACAACCTGGATATCAGCCGTTTCTCCGTCCTCATTTGACGAGGGGTGTTTATGCCGATGCAGATCACTACCTGGACGTTCAATTCAGACTACTCAAAGAAGACTTCATCTATCCTCTTCGCAAAGGGATATCAGAGTACTTATCTTTCAAGAAGACCAACCCTGACAAAAGGGCCAAACTTCAGGATGTGCGAATCTACGAGGAAGCTTACTACGATAAATCTGTCCGTGATTTCTTCGGAATTTCACATTACATGGCTTTCAAGAGAATACCTCTTGTCCGATGGCATTCGACAAAACGACTCATGTACGGATCATTGCTCATCCTATCAACGGATGATTTTAAGTCATACATATTTGCAACAGTGGCCAAACGGGACGTACAAGATCTAGAGAAGGGAATGGTAGCCATAACATTGGTCGACAAAGAAGATGCATCATGTCTACATAATAAGAGTTTTGTGATGGCAGAGTCATCTGTCTTCTTTGAAGCTTATCGCCCAGTCCTCCTGGGTCTCCAGCGAATGACTGGCCCATGCTTGCCGTTTTCCCAGTACACTTTGAGCACGTTTCATGATGTAAAGCCACCCAGCTATCTCCACGATCGGATGGTAACTAAAGACGATGAAATGGTCATCAATCCATGTAGTATCGATATCTCACCTCTGCTGAAAGACGTAAAACGATGCTCTCCAATAGTTGACGTACTTGACGATGGTGCTTGGCCCGATATTGACGATGTACAGCTTGACCAATCACAATATGAAGCTGCCAAGACAGCTCTCACCAAAGAACTCTCTGTAATACAGGGTCCACCAGGTACCGGCAAGACGTACATAGGTCTGAAGATCGTAGAGACTCTTCTCCTTAACAGAGAAATCTGGTCAAGTGAAGAAAACCCTAGCCCAATCTTACTCGTGAGCTACACGAATCATGCACTGGATCAATTTCTGGAGGGGATCTTAACATTCCATGACACTGGCATCGTTCGAGTTGGAAGCCGTAGCAAGAGTGAGAAGTTGCAGCCCTTTAAACTAAATCGGATGGTTGGTCGGTGGGGACGAGAGTACGTTCAACGAAGGGTTCGTCATGTCAAGAAAGAGGTTGACGGTGCAAAAAGACGTGTAGAGAGAACGCAAGCTAGGATAGAGGGTGCAACAAGAGGGATCATCAACGAGGACGAACTACGACCTTTTATGATATTGGAGCATAACAACAGCCTCCTGCGTCTTTCTCATCTGAAACACTCAAACTCCTGGCTCGTTGAGTGGCTTCTCTGTGAACGTCATTATGACAGGGATTGGAACCAGCAAGAGAAACGGGATAATCTAGAACAAAGAGATAACCTGCAAGAACAAGAAAGGAAAGAAAGCCCGAAGCGCGGTCCTGTGGCAAATAAAGCAACAATCAAAGTAGAATATGAACGAAGTGCCATCGAGTCTGAAAGAATGATTGACGACGAATTTGTTGAGGAAAGTTCTGATGAAGAGGAAGACGAAGATTACCCTTTTCTCGGCCTTGACTTAAATGATCTAAACAAAGCAGAGGACGGTATCTTGCGGAAGTTCATCCAAATGAAGATGTCTGGCAAAGATGTTCTCGATCCAGGTGCTCTCCAATCAGTTATCGATGTTTGGAGTATGCATCCAAATGATCGATGGGCACTCTACCAAAGTTGGTTGCAGAGCTACCTGAAACAGTTGAAAGGAAAACTGCCAGCATATGAGCTCGAATTCAAGCAACTTTGTGGTCAGCTAGATGAGGCAAAAAACGTATTAAAATACCAAATCCTTCGACAGGCAACTATAATCGGCATGACTACAACTGGAGCAGCTAATCATCAGCAGGTTTTGCAGAGAGTCCGGCCAAAGATCGTAATAGTAGAGGAAGCAGCTGAGGTACTGGAGGCACACATCATCACGGCATTAAATGCATCATGTCAACAGCTCATTCTTATTGGAGATCATCAACAACTTCGACCGAAACCGAACGTGTACCTCCTGGCAAAGAAGTATCATCTGGACGTTTCATTGTTTGAAAGACTTATCAACAATGAATTTCCTCACTCACAGCTTGAGCTGCAACATCGGATGCGTATCGAACTGTCGGATCTGATGAGAAGGAACTTCTACGACAACCTTCGCGACCATGAAACGGTGAAGCGATACGAAAGTTTGAAAGCAGTTCAAAAGGATATCTTCTTTCTAGATCACGCAGAACCAGAAAATGAAATGGAAGATACACAGAGTCACTACAATCTCCATGAGGCCAGACTCGTAGTAGCGTTGTGTTATTACTTCCTGCAGCAGGGTTATAAATCTGATAAGATTACAATCCTCACAGCTTATACAGGTCAGCTACTGAAAATCATGCAGATTATGGATCATAGCAAGTTTGAGGGAGTCAAAGTTACCTCAATAGACAACTACCAGGGAGAAGAGAATGATATCATTCTTTTGTCCTTTGTGAGGAGCAACAATCATGGGCGCATTGGATTCTTGGGGATTTCGAACCGAGTCTGTGTCTCATTGTCAAGAGCAAAGAAAGGGCTCTACTGCGTTGGAAACTTCACCCTCTTTGCAGAAAAGAGTGAGCTATGGAAGGGAATTGTAACAGATCTAGAATCAATGGGATCTATCGGATATTCCCTTAGGCTGCAATGCACCAATCATCCAGAGGAGATGACAGCGGTGAAAACTGTCGATGACTTCAAGAAGGTACCACTAGGAGGATGTAGTAGAGACTGTGATACCAGGCTGGACTGTGGACACGTTTGTCGATTAAAGTGTCACCCAACATATATCATCCACAAGTGCAAGGCTCCTTGCTCCAAGGTTATCTGTGAGAGAAACCACAAATGTCCAAAGCTCTGCTCGGAAACTTGCTTGACCTCTTGTTCAGTCATTGTGGAGAGGATTCTGCCCTGCCGTCATGTCTGCAAAAGGGAGTGTAAGGCCGACATTCGGAGCATCGAGTGCGAGGAAAAGGTTGAAAAAACTTTAGGTTGCTCACACGTCCATCTTCTTCCATGCCACATGCCAACCAAGGGACTTGAAAAGAAGTGCGAAGCCATCATCAACAAGGAACTGCAGTGCGGCCACAGAAAGATAGAGAAGTGTAATGGGAAAGGTCGATGTGATGAGATAGTTTTGAAAGTTCTAGGATGTAACCATACCTGTCAAGCAGCGTGCCATAACGATCCAAAGAACATCGAATGCAAGGAAAATGTTGAGAAAACCTTGCCTTGCGGTCACAAAATGAAGATTATTTGTTCCACCGAAGTAGAAACAGAAGTATGTAAAGCAAGATGCAGTAAGCAGCTTCCATGTGACCACATTTGCAAGGAAAGGTGTGGGGTGGATTGCACTGAGAACTGCACAGAGATGATCACCAGAAATGACTGGCCATGTGGTCATGAGGTAACCGTTAAATGCTGCGATGAAAGCGACGCATGCTACATCGTTTGTGAGGAGATCTTGATATGTGGGCACAAGTGCAAAGGGACTTGTGGAAAATGCTCACAAGGTCGTTATCACCACCCCTGCATTGAGACGTGTAAGAAAAAGCTGGTATGCGGACACGAATGCGCCCTCAAGTGCGATGCACCATGTCTTTCCTGTAAAAAGAAATGTCCTCGGCGTTGCCGTCACTCGCAGTGCAAGCATCCGTGCAGTGAGCCATGTGATGTTTGTATGAAACGTTGCAACTGGAAATGTGAGCATTACGAGTGCAAGACGTTATGTTGCGAGCCTTGTGACAGACCCCCATGCAACAAGCCCTGTCCAAAGATACAGAAATGCGGTCACCCTTGTATCGGTCTGTGTGGTGAGATCTGCCCCAATAAATGTCGCATCTGCGACAAAGAAGATTTGGAGCAACGCTTCTTCGGGACCGAAGATATCCAGACGGCAAGGTAAGCTGAATTTTATGGAACCAGCCTATTAGAAGATAAATCAGGGAAGACGCCTACAATACTTATGAAAAGAAATGACTTTGGATAATCTAATTGCCACTTTTCCATAAAAACATTATTATACAATATGGAGGTTACCATGTGTAATTTTCCAGCCTATATTTCATCATTACCTTTACATGCATATGTAAAAGAAAATTTCAATGTCTTAATTTTTTTTTGTTTTACTTCAATAATACATCTAGATTTATATTGCTCGTCATGCTCCTTGGAGGATAAACTTTATCAAGAAGTCGAGCAATTTAAAACTATATGAGAATTTTTCAACGTCAGAGCAAGATGCATGCTTTTAAAAATGTCTAAATGCCTTTTGCAATGTGTATAGGTACATTCAACTAGAAGACTGTGGACATAACTTTGAGGTAGGAGGGCTTGACAAGTTCCTTGGACTCAGCACAGAATCCGACGGTGCAGAAACATTTACCAAATTATCGGTAATACTACATTTGTTTTCTTTGTTGTTGTTGTTAAACTACTTTTTTTATTCAGATACAAAATCACATAATAATACATTTTATTTATAACCCGCACTTAATCAAACGTTTCTTTGTTAAACATTATCTTTACCAACTTAGTAGTATTTACATCTGTTCTAGTTTAATTTTCCTCAACTTCTAGTCTATGTTTTAACATAAACAAAATATATTTGCTTATTATTTTCGTTGCTACATTTTTTTTTTTACAACACTCGCTTTATAAATTGCAAATAAAGCATAATGAAAAAGTAAAATAATATATGTAACATTTTCCTTTGCGTCATGAATCCATATACAACATGAATGGGTGAGAATTTAAAATTTCTACAGAAAGAGTTACATAATAATATTTCAATAACATTTCAAAATGGATAAATCTTTGACTAAAAAAGTACATGGTTTCTTACAGGAATAACATAAATCCTTTTATTTGATTTTCCATTTGACTAAATTAACAGGTTTTGGTAATATATTATATATAAATTTAAAATTGAATCAAAAATGATCACGAACATCGCAAACTCATGTTTCATGAAGTCTCTATTCTTTGTATTTTCAAAAGATTAATCCACAACCGATTAAAGATCGAAAGGAACTGTAAAACAAAAAATCTATGCATTTTTGAAAACACTGTTATTCAAGAAAACGAAACATGTTTTATTTGAGCCATGTTAAGATGCTACGATGTTATTTTAATTGATTGTGTATGATTGTTTGGTTTGTTCAAAAGCATATATTTATCAATAAATTCATTTTACCAAAAAAAAAATGATCACGAACGTATTTCAATTTAAGTAACCACAGAGAATCCCATTTAATAGAAAAATTGTCTGTAAAATTTTGTTTTCTTTAATTATCAATTGATTTGTCTTTTATACTCTTCTCACTCGTATCATATCACGATACTTTTATACGCTTTATCGTAGATAAATAGCATATACTCTAGACAGACCTCTAAATAAAAAGGTACATGTATTTGTAAATGTGTTAAAAGTTGTTCATATAATTCATGTTAAAATAATACATTCTTTTAACTCCTAACTTGTTTATGTATCAGTCACTTCGGTCTTGTGACTCTGAAATTAATATTGGTTTTTATTGTGTATCATTTTCAAGGTAAAAACTTGTCCAAGATGCGAAAAAAACATCCAGTTGAGTCGTCGCTACGGTAATATCCTAAGAGAATCGTCAGCGATTAAGTCGCGAATCGTGGAAAAGGTACAGGATGCTCGCAATAGAAATGACGACAAACAACTCCTCCGTAAAGTCCACTCAGCCTTCAAGTCGGCGAGAGAAACCATTCGGCTTTTGTCACTCAAATCATCAACAGGGATTCACTCAACGCTGTTTGGGGAATTGGCAGAGAGTAGAAAGTCATTGGTGAACCGGCCATTTTTGTACAAGCTTCATGAACTACTAAAGGCATCAACAGAGGAACTGCGGAGACATGGCAAGTCGGCACCGAATGTACTCAAAGATCAGCTCGCAAACCACCTCTGGAATGAGATGAATCGAGTGACAATCATGTGTGACTTGGCCGAAGTACTGATGGGAGGAGCAACAGATTCAACCGAAGTACCAAGACTTCTACACATCCTAGGCCGGGATATGAATATGACATTAGCACATGACCTCCTCAATGGAATTCGCACTGCTAATGGAATCAGCCATACTGGCAGTGGCCTACCGACTTTCAACCGCCCTCCGCGTCTTTCCTTCGACATAACCATGTGGTTTATTTGTGCCAAAGGACATCCCGTTTCGAAACATCAGCTCAAGAAGGGCGCGTGCGAGGACTGCGACTTGGAGAAGGCTGGGCAGGAGAGAGCCCGATCCGAGGCTTCTGTAGATGTAGGACACCCTCGACAGAATGTGCCTGAGGAGCGAGGTTTTGGTGGTAGGCTGTTCCATCGGGGTACGGGACCTTTTGAATCATTTATATTCCGCCGCTGACCATGCTATCAGACAATCGGAACTTTTTAATTGAGGTCTCTTTTCAATCCTACCGGCGCAGAAAGAGATGTGTTTTCTATCGCGCCTCTTCTCTGTTCATACTTGAATAATACCTCAAAAAGTAGAACACAGAAAAACAAACTCGTATAAATATGTTGTAAATAAGTCTCCACTTTCTTGATCTTCAATTTACATGCACTATTAAATACCCCCTTCACATACACAGATTTTTCTTACGAGTCCTTAAGGATCGCACAAATTCACGGATCTTTCACCGATCCTTACGGTTTGGCCACTTTTACGATCGATTTAAGTTTTGTTACGAGCTATTTACGGTTTACCGCTGGCATTTTTACCACTGGCATATTTGTCACTGGCATTATTTCCTCTGACATTTTCACCCGACACCTGTATGTATGCATGGGCTTATGTGCGTGTGTGTCCACATTCGTGTCTCTCTTTGTTTGTTAACACACTCTTTCGGCAAAACCGGGGAGGGGGGGGGGGGGGGGCTTTGGACGAATGGTCACGCTCCAGTCAACGCGACGCGACACTCCCAACGTACCCTTCGGCAAAACCGGGGGGGGGGGGCTTTGGACGAATGGTCGCGTTCAAGTCAATGCGACGCGACGCTACGCACCCTTTCGGCATAAGCCGCACTATTAAGGCGTACTTTAGATTACATCAATCAGGAGTAGAGTATCACAATTGGAGATAAAATTAGAACTTTTAAGATATATTGATCGTATCCAAACGATTCACAGTTTTTTTAATGCCAGGGTGATGGGATTTTGTCTTACAAGGGAGGGTATTGGAGAATAGACAAACATTATACTTTAATATTCTTGATCATAATATGAAAATATTTTCGAAACAGTTTATGAAAATGCACTTTTGTTAATTGTTTTATTATTGCAATTTATGTTTAATCCGAAATATTAATGTGCAATGTATCCAGTTTTATTAATAATGAATTGTACAATTTGCATTTGAATTGAGAGAAAATAATTAAAAAATATCTTTAAGAACAAAAATACTATACTCGGAAACCCTATCGCAAAATCCAATCTAGCGCAATATCAAGCCATATGTAGCAGTATGGTCCTGCAGCCCGCTGCTTCGTTAGCAGTGATGTTGGTACACACATTGAGTCGTCTGTTAATTTAAGCTATGGTCACAACCCCCAAAAGCCTGTTCGGCGGCCGGGCGGCAAGTTTTGAGCCAATTTTGTCAGGGCACCGAGCGGCAGCCGCACGGGCACCGCTTGTTTTTAGGGCATTGGTCGGTCGCCGCTGAATTTTTAACGCGGAGTTAAAATTCGGCGGCGCCTGTTCACTTTTCACTCGCCGCCCAAAATACGCTCGGTGCCCGAACGGCCGCCGCCCGGGCACCGACCCAAGCGAGCGTTCGCCGTCGAGCGATTTAGGTCAAAAATCGAAGCCGCTAGGTCAAATGCTGCCGAGCGGTCGCCGCCCAGTCGCTTCCCGTTCGTCGCTGAGAGATCAGCCGGTCACTGGGCGGTGAGTTCAAAATCGGTCGGCAGCCTTTGACCTCGCAGCTTCGATTTTGTACCTATATCGCTCGACGGCGAACGCTCGATTAGGTCGGGGCCGGGCGGCGACCGCCCGGACATCGAGCGAATTTTGGTGCCCCGCTTATCACCGGCCGGCCGCCGAGCAATTTCTTTTAAATCAGCCGGTGGCCGATGGGAGACAGCTCGGGAATCGGTAGGCCATCAGTCGGTTACTGCCGGGACGCGGCCCGGAGAAGCTCCCCGATTTTGACCTAAAAACGACCGACGATTGACGGGAAATCGACAGGGCACCGCCCAGGCATCGCTGGGGCTCTACAGCCTGCTCGACTTCTCCAAAAATCATTGGGCGATGCCTAAATTCCAGCGGCGACCCAGCAGGCTACAAATCGGTCGGTTGCCGCTCTGAGTTGTGACCATAGCTTAAGATAAAATTACATATTTGGTTATGCAGTATTGGCAAGTTGACCGTGAGATGGTGCTTTGAGATAAACAGTACGCTGGGACAGTAATTTTATCAGTTAAGTATCGCTGCAAGATGACACAATTCGAAAATGTTGTAGTGTTACATATGCAATGTTGATGTGGTTGAACAGTCTGTGCTCTTAACCGAGTCTTTTAAAGGCAATTCAGGAGAAGTTATATATGAATTTTGTATCTTTGTAGGTTTAACATAAAAGAAACCCATCCTACTTAGGCGAGGCGTCAAAAATATCGATACCAGCAGGCTGCCGCCGCACGTATTGGCGCATCGAGGCTGCAATTACAGCCGAAGCCTGGCTGGGGCAATTATTTTTCACTAATTTAATAGCCCTGCCGGCTTGCGCCAGGCTGGGATCTGAGGCTCGGTTTCCATTCGAAAGGCGGCAGCCGGCGCATGCTTTTGTTCGGAAACCATTATGATGACATCATGAGTTAATTGAGGGTCCTACCGCCAGCGGTAGCCAGCTGAGCTAATTTAAAAAATGCAGCCAGGACGCACAAGTGCAGTTAGCTGCCGCTCGCTGGTATATTTATTTTTGACGCCTCGCCTTAGGAAATGAAGCTTTGTTAAAAATCACAATTTACCCATTTTATTCCCTACTATGTAAATAGAAATGAGATGTGCATAAAGATTACTTCGTGTAGAGCAATGCTTCAAGCATTCACATTTCATGTTTAAAGATGTTTGACTTCTGATGCGTTTTTGTAATTGATAGGTTTAATTAGAAGTGATGATATTGTTAGGATAAAAAAAAAGATATGTATATATATATATATATATATATATATACTCCTGCGTCATTCAGCTGGTGAAAAATATGAATATTATTTATAGAAATATGAAATAGAATCGTGACATATTGGTAGTACTTTAAGCAATTTTTTTTGTTGGATATAAGCACTATAAATATATACAATATCAACATTTCTATTATGTATAGATATCAACATTTTCATTAAAGGTTTTGGGGAATTCTTCATTACATGTATAATAAATTTCCATTATATAATACCGGTGATCTTCTATCAACGTTGTTAGATGAAAGCCGATCATATAATATACTTCCTAATTGAATAATGTTTGCTGATGTCAGGTTCTAAAATATATTACTCTTATTATCAGAATTCAGGAAGAAATGTTGATGTCATAGAATAATACTGACTTGGTATCCTCACTGTCGTTTATTAAAATAGCAGGATTTATAGTTATTCAATTTTATAATGGAGATTTATTCAACTGAGGTGTAAACTCACCAGTGGAAACAGAACAGTGAAACAATTTAAAAAAAACTCATTTTTGTTTTGACAGCATACATCAAGTCATATGTACTGCATACTCAACATCATTTCCTATTGCTTCTTGGCAGTTTCGTTCACATGACCATAGAATGGTATCGGATGACTATAGAACTCAAGTTTATGTTTTTTTGTTGCTGTTGTTAAGAATCATGTAACGAATCACAATATAAATAAACTTGTTATGCTTATTATCTCCAAACATTGTTGTACCACTGTACTGTTTTATCGAGTAAGTGTTTTTTCTCATTTGCAGGGGTGTTGATCCATCTACATTAGGGGCAGGGGCGTCGCCAAAGGGGGGGGGGATGTGGGGGGTGTGGGGGTGCGACATCCCTCCACCTGTCAGGATATTGTCGGTAAAATTGCGCTGCCGTCGGGAAAAAAAAAAAAAGGGGGAGGGAAAAAAGAGAGGGAAAGGGAAAGAAAAGAAAAAAGAAAAGGAAAAGAGAAGAAAGAAAGGAAAGAAAAGAAAAGAAAGGAAAGAAAAGAGAAGAAAGAAAGAGAAAAAAGAAAAAGAGGGAGGAGAGGAAAGAAAGGAAAAGAAAGAAAAGGGGGAAAAAAGAAAAAAAAAAGAGTAAAATGGAAACAAAAGAAACGGGGTGAAAGAGAGGAGAGAGAGGAGAGGTAAGAGCCTGAGAGAGGAGGAGTGGGAGTAAAAGAGAGAAGGGGGTTGTTGGGTGGAGTCGTCTTGTCGAGGGAGCAAGAAAGACACTGGTAAATATGTTGCTATGTCGGGTCAGCTGTGTCAGTATTCTTGCTCGATCCTCGTGTACTATATCAATGCAGAAGTTTGAAGTCGGTGAGATGTATATTGTCGGTCGGCCGACAGGTTTTTTTTCCCTACGAACTGTGACTTTTTATACGCTGTGACGACTTCGAGAGTGACTGCAACTACAATACTTGTATTTTCTCGAAGTTTCACTTTCCTAATATCAGCTAAAGAAATCAGAGGTTTAACATTTTCGGGGAAACTAAATTCAAACAAGGTTTAATAGTCAACAACGGTACTACGAATCGTCTTCCTTTCTCTATATTGTGATGAAACGCCCCCCAAAAAAATCCGCGCTTCGCGCGGAAGGGGATAACTTCATTAAGACGAGTCGAGAACGGTAAAAAGAATCGTCTTCTTTCTCTAATATTTTAAGGAAACGTCAAAGCTTCCGCGCTTCGCGCTAAAGGGGGAAACTGAATTCAGACTATTAGGGCTTATTAAGAGTCGAAAACGATACAACGAATCGTCTTCTTTCTCTAATAATTTAATAAAACGTCAAAACTTCCGCGCTTCCGGCGGGAGGAAGCTTTATTCAGACAAGGACTAAGAGTCGAGCACGGCTCAACGAATCGCATTTCTCTAATAATTTAAGGAAACGTCAAAACCTCCGCGCTTCGCACGGAAGGGGGACATCTGAATTCAGATAAGAATTAAGAGTCGAAAACAGTACACCAAATAGGGCTTATTAAGAGTCGAAAACGGTACAAACGAATCGTCTTCTAGGAAGAAGACAACTTTAGACTGATTTGCAGTTTGCTCGACATTTATTCCGCTCCGAAACTAGGAGTCCTTTTCCTCAAAACATGTAAAGTAGGAAAGTCAAAGTAAAACAAGTAACATGCATAAAAGCAATAACAAAATCTTATAACCACAATAAAGAGGGTCCACCATAAACAATTCGACAATAATGTATAAACGTGATATGATTCAACAATCTTAAGGGTACATGTACCATGAGTGAAACTCAAAATTGTAGGGATCTCCGGTCACGTGATCAGCGGAGGGATAGTAACTCCTTCCGATCACCCCAGGTCCCTGGGGTTTACGTGACCTGCCGGTAGGATAGTATCTCCTACGGATGATCCCCACAACTTTTCAATACTCACAAAATCATCAATGCATAAATAACATAGTTATGGAAACACTATATTTGTGGGATCTCGAGTCACGCGATCAGCGGAAGGATAGTAATTCCCTCCGATCACCCCAGGTCCCTGGGGTTTACGTGACCTGCCGGTAGGATAGTATCTCCTACGGATGATCCCCACAACTTTTCAATACTCACAAAATCATCAATGCATAAATAACATAGTTATGGAAACACTATATTTGTGGGGTCTCGAGTCACGCGATCAGCGGAAGGGTAGTAACTCCCTCCGATCACCCCAGATACCTGGGGTTTACGTGACCCATCGACAGGATAGTATCTCCTGCAGTATCCCCAATGTTATCCCGGTGCTACTATACCAGCGCATATATAAGAAGTGGTGATAATCGGAACCAACCATGGAATAATCACGAGTAAAAGAAATCCTCCACCCACATTTTTTTTTTTTTTTTTTGTGTGGGGGGGGGGGGGGGGTTGGGCGTGGTTTGCCATGGTTGCTTCCTTACCATCTATGGACCCATGCTGTTTAACTAACTATTATCATGTATTTATCATGGATTCAATCCGTAACATATTGTAATCTTATGTTATTATTCTTGCTGCTAGCCAGACAGTGATAGAGGCGAAAACCCGACAATATTGCCATTGTGGCTTAGTTTAACGAGCAACATAATTATATTTCCTTTGTCGGGGAAAATTCCCCTATGGCCCACTTTGTAGTTCTGAGGCTACTGTGCGACCGAGTGGCTCTGACTCCACCCTCTGCTAGCTTAACAATTATGTACGACGTATACTAGTACATCAAAATCAATCATTAATTTAAATATGGTTCTAGTTTGTCAGCAATTAAATAAGTTTCAAGTTTAATGTGAATCCCAAAATGAAGGCGTATATATCTGAATATGTAACTCACGTATTACAACACGCTGTTCCTCAACTTTTTGTGTTATAATAATTCCATTGTCACATCGAACCCAGTCTGTCCGAGATTCCACAAGGCTCATTAATAGCCGAATTAGTGTTATTGTCCCGTTTCCGTGGATGTAAATGTTCTATTCATGTGTACCCAAGCCCGAGTCTATTCCTTCTTGGAAGTTATCGATGAGAGCGTCGGATCCTCTGTCGGACAGGTGTACCCCATCTCTTAAAAATAAACTGTGATTGGATGGATCCAACTGATGAGCAATAACTGACGCATTCGGCAGCCGGGCTATTAATCTCCTCGCGTACTTGTTGAGCGATTTCCTGACCCCATCCATGGCGTCTTGTGATGTTCGATGACCACGACTGCTATGATAGAATAGGCGTGGGATGATGGTCGACCAGGCGATGTGCGTACGAGGCATGGCTGTCCGAAGGGTTTGAAGAGCCATATCGATCGCGATTCTGCATTGGCAGGCATCATTCAGGCCCAAGTTATTTGTTCCCAGATGCACGATTACTAGCGCAGGTGCTCGTTGGTTGTATCTCAACCTGTTCTCCACCAGGCGCGGAAGGTCTTGTAACGTCGCTCCTCCCTGACCGTGCCATTGGACCGTCCCTCTTGCTCTTCCCAGATCTTGGCGGTTGAGCATGCTCGCCCTCTGCTTGGCACGTCTGACCAAGCTGTCGCCTACGATCCAGATCCTGTCGCCGGTTGTCTCTGAAACAGGATGGAAAAACTCCCCAAAGTAATGTGTTCTATATTCATATTCATATCATCATACATGCGGGCTACTTATTCTCCCACTTATAATTTACTATGAAAGTATGTGATAGTAGGTTTCCATTAAAAGGAAAAAAGGAAGGAATGATCGTTCCTCTGTGTTACATGTAAAACCTAGCAGCGATGGGGGTTACGACAATATTAATGATTGGGGGAGTCTAATCAGGATAGTAACTCCTGGTTGATCCTCCTGTCCCTTATGTGTGTGCACCACTGTGCTCCCCCCCTTGTATCCCAGGCAGTAGCGCCTGACTGAGTCGGTTGCCCGACACTGCTTGCCCGTGTGGGAGGATGGGCTTCATTATGGTTCCATGACACATGCTCCGCCGACGATTGCTCCGCCGACATTTACTCCGCAAAACGCGACAATTGCTCCGCGACATTTGCTCCGCGATATTTGCTCCGACGTCAAATGCTCCGCCGAAAGGTGCTCCGCCGACAGTTGCTCCGCCGACAGTTGCTCCGCCGACAATTGCTCCGCCGACAGATGCTCCGCCGACAATTGCTCCTCCGACAATTGCTCCGCCGACAATTGCTCCGCCGTCAATTGCTCCGCAAAACGCGACAATTGCTCCGCCGACATTTGCTCCGCCGACATTTGCTCCGCCTGAAGCGACACTTGCTCCGCCGACATTTGCTCCGCCGACATTTGCTCCGCCGACATTTGCTCCGCCGACAATTGCTCCGCCTGAAGCGACAATTGCTCCGGTGACATTTGCTCCGGCGACATTTGCTCCGCCCAAAAAGTGTCCTATTAAATACAAATGCTACTAGTACTACGACAAATGCTTCGCCGACAATATTTTTTTTTCACGGGTTGTTTTTGTTTCTTTCTTTTTTTTCTTCATTTTTTGAATGCATTTCATGACATTATGTAAATGAAATGAAATGAATGAATGTTGATAATGTGGGAGGAAAAAGCAGTTGCCTAAAAGTCATTTCGAATATACTGAAATAACTTTCCATCTATCACTGTACGTCCCACATAATGTACACTAAACACTCATTACATGTCATGGGAAGTTTTTTTTTTTTAAAGTAGAGCAGCAAGCCACATTCCCAAATACGCGCATACCTCCTAGTTAATTTCAAACAGCTCATCAATATGTAATACCTGAAATTACCTCAATGAAAGAAGACTAATAACATGAGAGGAAAGAAAAGAGCAAAAAAGACAACCGTTTTTTGCTATTCCCCATAATGTTTGATTTAAAAAAATAAAAAATAAAATTATAGCTCCTTACACAAGTTGTCCGGCGAAAGATAATTACTCCGCTCAAAATCTGTTTCATGTATTACTCATTAGCTGATCCAAAGCTCAAGGCTATCTCTCTCTCTCTCTCCCATGCTCCTCCTTTTCCTGTTTACACCGTTTTCTTGTCTTCTTTGCTCTTTTCTTTCCTCTCATGCTATTAGTCTTCTTTCATTTCCATCACTTCTTCTCTGCTCCCCCTCTCGAGTTCTATTTCTCTCGTGAAATTGAAACGTAAAGTAATACAATCATGTAGTACATTCTTGTTTAGAATAATATTTTCAATAATATCCAGTCCATTTTCTAAAGGTTTCTTTCCTTTAGTTAAGTGTATGTAGCTTTAATATATATATGTTAGTGTGCAAAACACTCCGTTTCATTCGAGTACTTTGTTTTCACTAAATAATTTAAGGGACTCACGAAGCCACCGGAAGAAGAGCAATTGGCTTATCATGAAGAACTAACATCAAACTGCAACAAAATGATTTGTATAAATGTGAATAAGCAGAAAGGCTGCCATCTCATTTTCCCGTCTGAATGGGTTCTCTTCCTTACGTATATAAGTGCCCTTATTTTCTAAACTTTTTTTTTTTATATTTGTGTGTTTATTAAATTTTCAATCATATAAAAATTACATATTTACAAGTCATTGGTAATAATTAGACAAACAAAAAAACCAATATGTATAAGAACAACTAACAATAATGAAAGGACAAGAAAGTTATAAAAAAAAACATTATAGTAAAAAAAAATACACTGTACACATATAAATCATAGTTTGAACTCCAGTGCATAAAGGGGAGTGAGGGGGCACAGGAATAAAAGTTAAATCAACATGAGTATCATAAGTCAAATCGCCATTTCTTAAAATGCGAAACAAGCTTGTTCCTTTTTTTCGCTGAGAAATATTCAATATCTTTTTGTTTCTTTATAAAACTCTTAAAAAGATCAACACTTGGTAAATCCCCCTTACTTATTTTCTAAACTTCCATGATGACCTATTACATTGTATAATGCTTTACCTAGTAAGATGCATTGATCGAGGTAATTTCAGGTATTACATATTGATGAGCTACTTGAAATTAACTAGGAGGTATGCGCGTATTGGGGAATGTGGCTTGCTGCTCTACTTTTTTTAAAAAACTTCCCACGACATGTAATGAGTGTTTAGTGTACATTATATGGGACGTACAGTGATAGATGGAAAGTTATTTCAGTATATTCGAAATGACTTTTAGGTAACTCCTTTTTCCTCCCACTTCATCAACATTCATTCATTTCATTTCATCTACATTATTTCAAGAAATGCATTCAGAAAATGAAGAAGAAAAAAAGAAACGAAAAAAATAGGTGTAAAGAAAATATTGTCGGCGAAGCATTTGTCGTAGTACTAGTAGCATTTGTAGTTTATGGGACACTTTTTGGGCGGAGCAAATGTCGTCGGAGCAAATGTCGGCGGAGCAATTGTCGCTTCAGGCGGAGCAATTGTCGGCAGAGCAATTGTCGGCGGAGCAAATGTCGGTGGAGCAAATGTCGGCGGAGCAAATGTCGGCGGAGCAATTGTCGCTTCAGGCGGAGCAATTGTCGGCGGAGCAACTGTCGGCGGAGCAAATGTCGGCGGAGCAATTGTCGCTTCAGGCGGAGCAATTGTCGGCGGAGCAATTGTCGGCGGAGCAAATGTCGGCGGAGCAATTGTCGCTTCAGGCGGAGCAATTGTCGGCGGAGCAATTGTCGGCGGAGCAAATGTCGGCGGAGCAAGTGTCGCTTCAGGCGGAGCAAATGTCGGCGGAGCAAATGTCGGCGGAGCAATTGTCGCGTTTTGCGGAGCAATTGACGGCGGAGCAATTGTCGGCGGAGCAATTGTCGGCGGAGCAATTGTCGGCGGAGCATCTGTCGGCGGAGCAATTGTCGGCGGAGCAACTGTCGGCGGAGCAATTGTCGGCGGAGCAACTGTCGGCGGAGCATTTGACGTCGGAGCAAATGTCGCGGAGCAAATGTCGCGGAGCAATTGTCGCGTTTTGCGGAGTAAATGTCGGCGGAGCAATTGTCGGCGGAGCATGTGTCGGGTTACCTTCATTATCCCTCAAATTATGACTAGCTCTAGGCCTAGTGTCACTCTCGTTGTGTGTAGTTTGTAATTGAAAGCCAGCGTGTAGGCTACCGGTGTTTGGTACAATCGAGGGGAAGGAAACCACCAAGTTGCTTTCCCTCTCGCTTTCAAGATTGTTAGATCTATGTCGTGTTGTTTCACTAAATTGTGATATTTCTGGTAGATGTGATTGCATAGCTACGTCTACCTCACCTTGCATTGGCTGTGCATGTGAAGGCGGCTGGCTTGATGACTGGTTCGCTCCAGTTGTCTCGTTTCCACTGTATTGTGGTCCGTCAGTCTCCGGAGCCGGGTTTATGCTGGTAGTGGCTGAGCGTCCACTGCTGGGGTTACCGCTCGAGTGTCTCGCCCGTTTTGGCCGCCCCGCCCGCCGGGGAGTTGAGGTGCCGAGTACGTCTTGAGTGGTGTCGTTGCTAGACTGCCTTAATCTTGTAGACTGTCTAGGCCTAGCAATCTTTGGTTGGCGGGCCACCCGGCTCTGGCTTGATTTCCGCTTTCCCATCTTTCGATATACTGGGATTTCCTCTCGTTATTTAGACTTATCTGTATACTCAATTGTAGAGCCTTCTCGAAAAAGGACTTCTCCGAGCGGAGATAAAGTCGAAAGTGAGAAAATCTTGCACACGGCGTTCCCACGCTTACTGCGCGCATAACTCCACCGTTGTAGATTCACTGGCTGTGCGCATTTTCGGTTTCTTTACAGAGGTAAATTTCACATGTCGCTGTCTCACAAAGGCACCGCTTAAACAGCTGTAAAAGGCGCGCGCTATTTCTGGCCTATGCCAGCAATTGTTTTGTCTATCCTTGACTCTCCCAGAATGACTCTGATCATTTATTATGATCACGTTATTCTTTCTCTAATAATTTAATGAAACGTCAAAGCTTCCGCGCTTCGCGCGAGAGGGGGAAACTGAATTCAGATGAATAGGGAGTATATAAGAGTCAAAAACGGTACGACGAATCGTCTTCCTTTCTCTATATTGTGATGAAACACCAAAAATTCCGCGCTTCGCGCGAAGGGAAGAAAACTTCATTTAGACGAGTCGAGAACGATACAACGAATCGTCTTCTTTCTCTAATAATTGAATGAAACTTCAAAACTTCCGCGCTTCGCGCGAGAGGGGGAGGGGGAAGCTTCATTCAGACAAGGATTTAGAGTCGAGTAAGGTTCAACGAATCGTCTACTTTTTCTAACAATTTAATGAAACGCCAAAACTTCCGCGCTTCGCGCGGATGGGGGAGAAACTGAATTCAGACAAGGATTAACAGTAGAGAACGGTAAAGCAAATCGTCTTCTTTTCAAAATAATTTAATGAAACGTCAAAGCTTTCGCGCGGGAGGGGGGGGGGGAACTTCATTTAGACAAGGATTAACAGTCGAGAAAGGTACAATAAATCGTCTTCTTTCCCTAATAATTTAGAGGCCTATCACCCACACCCCCTAATGAGCGCTCTTTAAGTGATTCGCTTGCTCACTACCGCCCTCTCTAAAAAAAGATCCTAGCTCCGCGCCTGCATTAAAATATATCAGCTATATGATGCTGACTAAGTTGACGAAATGATTCGTTTATTTATGTCGAGGAAAATGACCATTTGCGCATATGCAAGTACTATAGATAGTCCATAGGAAAAACAATTTAGCCTTCGGCCCCGGGCTTATAGGGTTAAATTTGTATATATTGCACATTTATTTTTGTCGGTAATTGGTCGCTAGTTTTGTCGGTTATCGTTGGCCTCTACACCCCCCCCCCACTGAAAAAGGTCTAGCGACGCCCCTGATTAGGGGGGGGGGGGGCATTATATATACACGGCAATACATGTGCGTGTGCGTGTGTGTGTGTGTGTGTGTGTGTGCGTGTATGTTTTGGGGGAGGGAATCTTAGAGGCTCCAGCTCATTCTAACATGGAAACTTCCAAATATTCTGTCAATTATTGTCAACTAATATTCACGAAGCGAGGTGGTCTCTTTCTCATTTCAGGACAAAATTCTACATTGTGCTATTAACTTGTCTTGATCTGACATGGTCGTTATGGTAAATAATTTGTGATAGGCGTGAAAATGAACATAATGACAGTATTACAACATCAACACAAAACACTAATGCAGTACAGTACTAGTAATTCAAGAAAAAGAGGCATATCAGGTTGCGTATTCTGTAGAAGTGTGCGAGGGGTTTACTCCAGTCAAACGTAAGAGGAAATAAAGAAAGAGAGAGAAAGAGAGAGAGGAAGGGGTGTTTGATTAAAATAAGGTGATATGACACTTCTCCACACCCTTTCTCAATCGCTAAGCGTTTAAATTCGCATTCCATCAACCGAGTAAGACCATTAGCCCCGAACAATGACAGTGCCCCTTATTAAGTAGACCCATGCAAGGACGAATTCTGCAGCCGGCCATGTCACCTCACGTCGCTAAACTGAACCATCTCTTTTATTTTGAATACTGGATTGACAATACCTAAAGGAGTTTAGAAGCTTACTCATTAAGGGACATTTAATTTTAAGATCAGCAACGCCACATTAAAAAAAAAAATGCTTTTAGTTTAATTTATCTTTAACATGAGTTATATTGCAATATTTTCACTAAGTGATACAGAATGTAAGTGGATTGCGCAAGACCAATCCGACACGTCACACCTACATGATGACATTACGCAATTCTTATTAAACATGCATGAGAACAAGATAAGAATTACCAAAGACCTGCGGTGCTGACGCATTCTATTGTTGAAGATAAATGTTAGAACGGAAAGTGGTAGTATCCGCAAAATAACACTTATAATATATAAAGGCACGCCAGGGGGGGGGGGGGGGGCACCTTGCACCCCAGACGATCACGGAAACCAGGGTGCATGATGAATTTGGGTACGCCGCCCTCATTTTTCATGCTAAAAAAATCAGTTAAACACCCCCGGCATATCAGGTTGCGTATTCTGTAGAAGTGTGCGTGGGGTTTACCCCAGTCAAATGTTCGAGGACATAACGAGAGAGAGAGAGGAAGGGGTGTTTGATTAAAATAAGGTGATATGACACTTCTCCACACCCTTTCTCAATCGCTAAGCGTTTAAATTCGCATTCCATCAACCGAGTAAGACCATTAGCCCCGAACAATGACAGTGCCCCTTATTAACTAGACCCATGCAAGGACGAATTCTGCAGCCGGCCATTCCACCTCACGTCGCTAAACTATTTTGACTACTGGATTGACAAAACCTAAAGGAGTTTAGAAGCTTACTCATTAAGGGACACTTAATTTTAAGATCAGCAACGCCACATTAAAAAAAAAATGCTTTTAGTTTCATTTATCTTTAACATGAGTGCTCCACAATAACGGAATATTGCAATATTTTCACTAAGTGATGCAGAATGTAAGCGGATTGCGCAAGGCCAATCCGACACGTCACACCTACATGTTGACATTACGCAATTCTTATTAAACATGCATGAGAGCAAGATAAGAATTACGAAAGACCTGCGGTGCTGACACATAATTGTTGAAGATAAATGTTAGAACGGAAAGTGGTAGTATCCGCAAAATAACACTTATAATATATAGGGGCACGCCAGGGGGGGGGGGCACCTTGCACCCCAGACGATCACGGAAACCAGGGTGCATGATGAATTTGGGTACGCCGCCCTCATTTTTCATGCTAAAAAAAATCAGTTAAACACCCCCGATATATAGGAGTGGACGTCTCAAAATGGAGGACAATGGTGCGCATATTTCACTTTTCTTCCGAGAGCATGGGCAATTGAGAAAATTTCCTACATCTTTTTTTATCAATGTCTGGATACGCCACTACGAGGGTGTATTACCTCAGGAAGTCACTCGTATAGTGGTCTTTGTATGACGATGAAAAGAGGCTGAATTCGGCAGTAACATACTGATGCACGTGAGAAGACACCCCATCCTCCTAAAAAATATAAAATATGATGATTTATACCTATCGCATGGCATCTGTGCCAGCTATAGCTCTCGAGTTAGTCTACTCAGAAGACGAAGAGCCGATGAGATCATGTTGAAACTTATTTGCTTGAGAGCAAAGCAACAAGATTTTTTTTCTTCAGATTTCAACCCAATAAAATACTATTTATGAACTTTATTCTAGTAGTAATAGTAGTAGTAGTAATAGTAGGAAATAGAGAGAGGGAGAGAGAGGGGGCCTACTAGCCATTCAAAGAGGGGTTAGCCTTTCTCCCCTCTCCCAGATGTCCAATTTTAACTTGAAATACAGAAATGTTGAAAGATATGCTAGTCAAATATCATCAGGAAATAATATAAATTGCAAAAGATTGAACACTTCACAATGAGCGGGGAGGGTCGACGGTGTATGGTTTAAAGTCAAAGAATATGGGATAATTTTACATCTAGAGTACGATATTAAAGGAGAGGGGTGTTGGTGACTGTCCCCTCCCCCTCCCCCACCCACCACGTTGAATATGTTTAATATCTATGACGTATTACAATGAGTGAATCTCTGAAAACACGCCCTTAAATCTTTGGAATTCCCATCTTGCTATTGCGCACGCGCGGGAAAGATAGTAGTCAACTCTGTATGTTAAGCCCTCGTTACATTTTCAAGTGATTTCGTGATTGTGTCATATAATCATCAAATGTGATTGCCGAGATTGTGATATATTTCGTTATCGTTACATACTAATATCTTGAACAAGGTCTATGCATACAAATTACGACTGTCGAAATTGGGATTTTAAGAGCAGAGGCAAAATTGAAATGTTCAATCTACAGTCCGGCGAAATTGCAGTGGGAATGCATTTTGAACTACGTTGGCAGATTTGAAAATCCTAGATAAGGTATGCATACTGTATGAGAAGTAAAACTTATATGTATCCACGAGTCTGGTCTTTTCTTTGACGAGACGAAAAATGATCAACATGAGATTGCATCTCTGTTTATTTTGTTAATATACTTTCATTTGATAATAGTTTAATATATCTTTCTCATTACATTAAAGCAATTCTCATATATAAAACATTAACATGTTTAAACATATTTGTGGCTTACACCCAGTAGATAAGATCGATTGATCGATCTGTAATTGAAAAACAAGTCAGAAAAAATCTTGGAACCAGCGGGATTTACATGTTTGTATAGAGACCCGTTACCAGGATTTAAGTGGTGAAGAGGGGGCGGGGGATGCACACATTAAATAGGGAGGATTCTTTCGACGACGCGAAGCGCCCGAGCGGGGGTGAAAGGGGGAGGCCCTCTTTCCCATGTGAGGGAAAATTTAGCATTATTCTATTTGAAATTCAAGTTGTAGGTACAATTTTCAACAGCACAACGGTACGTTTTATCTGAAATGAATCTGACGCGAAGCTATTATTAAAGGGGCAGTCCTCCCTGATAATAATTAGACTTTCATAGAAACAGGGCAGCGAAAAATTGGGCTAATTTCGATTAAAAATAATAAAGTTATGAATGTGAAGTTGCAATCAATCAAACATAAATTGGCCACACACTGTGACATATCTCGCGAGCTTCGCTCCAAGTTGCTTTGTATGCACATTTTTTTCTTCTGGGGGTGGGGGCTCCTGTCGAATTTGCATTGAGTTTTTTTCTTCTTCAACATTGAGACATTAAAAATCATAGTATTATTGTAATGGGTCCCATAATGTGGGCGAGGGCGCAACAGGAGACTCAACAGGTGGCGTAGTCTTTAGGAGTATACGCGGGGGGGGGGGGGCATTATCCCAGTCGAATAGCATATACATTGAAGAGAGAGACAAAGACAAGAGGGGTGTTTGATAAAAAGAAGATGATATGACACTTCTCCACACCCTTTCCCCGTTGCTAGACGTTTAATTCGCATTCCATTCACCAAGTAAGACCGTTGGCCCAAGAATATGGCAGTGCCCCCCTATTACTAGACCCATGCAGGGCGGATTTTGGAGGGGGATGGGTGATGGGTGGGTCAAAAGCAACTGTACCCCACTTTTTAGCTTGGCTGAAGAGGGCCATTGGGTGTATGTTTTATAATTTATTTGCACATTTCTTTCGTAACTGCATGCCCCTACTCCTCTCATACATAATTCTGGAGCCGTCCATTCCATCTTTTCACACTGGCGCTATTAAAGTCAACCACCTCTTTGAAGTTCACTCTTTGATTGACAGTTTCTAATATGAGTTTAGCAGCTGATCACTCACTAAGGAACTTTTTCTTCTAAGATTAGCAATGCTACAGTTTTTAAAATGATTTTAGTTTTATCAATCTTTAACATGAGTGTCCCAAACTTATATAATATTGCAATATGTTTACTATGTGATACAGAATGTAGGCGGATATTGCGCAAGACCTATCCGACACGTCACATCTGTATGGTGACATTGCAATGTTCAGTTTCGGTTTCGCTTGAAATTTTATTACAGGCTATTTCTAGAAGATATCGACTGCTTTAATGATTCAATTCTAATGATTTTATTTCTCATGCAAAACATAGTACAAGTATATTACAAACAAATATACAATGAAACGACAAACATAATGGAAATAGCACGAGAAAAGAGGAACTAACTAGAAGCAGAGTTTGTTGAAGTGTTGGTTCCTCAGATGCTGTTGTACAATATATCTTGAACAAAGTATACTTAGAAAATCAATAAATAAAAAGATATGGACAGGGTTTTACTTCTCATCTAAAATGAATACATATTGTTGACTCCTTGATTGACAGTTTCTAATATTGGTTAAGTAGCCAATCACTCACTAAGGATCTTTTTCTTCTAAGATCAGCAACGCTTCATTTTTTAATGATTTTAGTTTGATAAATCTTTTACATGAGTGTCCCAAACTTAATGTTTACTAGACCTATGTGATACAAAATGTAGGCGGATATTGCACAAGACTTATCCGACACGTCACATCTGCATGGTGACATTGCAATGTTCAGTTTCGGTTTCGCTTGAAATTTTATTACAGGCTATTGCTTGAAGATATCGACTGCTTTAATGATTCAATTCTAATGATTTTATTTTCTCATTTAAAATGAATAAATATTGTTGACTCCTTGATTGACAGTTTCTAATATGAGTTTAGTAGCTGATCACTCACTAAGGATCTTTTTTTTTCTTCTAAGATTAACAACGCTACATTTTTAATGATTTTAGTTTCATCAATCTTTAACATGAGTGTCCCAAACTTACATGATATTGCAATATGTTTACTAAGTGATACAGAATGTAAGTGGATTGCGCAAGACCAATCCGACACGTCAAATCTGCATGTTGACATTGCACAATACTTATTAAAGATGCATGAGAACAGGATATGAATTATCAAAGGCCAATAGTACCGATACGTTATATTATAGAAGGATGACTTATAGTACAGAAGTACAATATAATGGTCTGTACAGCCCGCCATATACAGTGCGTCCCAGAAAAAACGAAACCGAGAGATATCGATGTTTTATTATAACTTAATCACAACCATAATTAATGAATGATACATATTTGGAAAGCTTAGAGTCTCCTCTTTCAGTTGATGCTACTCGCGTGATGCATATTTCATGCATGAGTGATTAAAAGCAATTTGAAGGAAGGAAACCAAAAAGTAATTTGGCGGGCGGTATCTGAATTTCAAAGAAAAATTCATATTTCTAGAAAGTTCATTTTCTGCTCTTTGATATGATACCTCAATCAAGAAGAATGAGCCAGGAATAACAAAGTTCTGTTTGTTTAAAGTAGCCCTTACATTTTCATAATTTTAACAAACGAATTCGTTATCACTGGGTGCCTGTCGTAGCAAAAAGCAGATTTGACAAAAGACTTAACTCCGTTTCGTTGACAATCAGCCATGCATGAAGACTCTCGTCTACGGCTGATTGTCAACGAAACGGAGTTAAGTCTTTTGTTTATTTCGTTTATTGATACGGCAGGCAGCCAGTGAAAACGAAGTCGTTTAATAAAATTTTGGAAATGCAAGCACTACTTTAAACAAACAGAACTTTGTCATTCCTCGCTCATTTTTCCTGATTGAGGTGTCATATGAATAGGCAGAAACTCAACTTTCTAGAAATGTGAATTTTTCTTCGAAATTCAGATACCGCCCGCCAAATTTCTTTTTGGTTTCCTTCCTTCAAATTGCTTTTAATCACTCATGCGTGAAATATGCATTATCTGAGTAGCATCACATGAAAGTGGAGACTCTAAGCTTTCCAAATATGTATCATTCATTAATTATAGTTGTGATTAAGTTATGATAGAACATCGATACTTCTCGGTTTCGTTTTTTCTGGGACGCACTGTACGCTGAAAATGAAATTATGAAAATATTGACCCAAAAATTCGGCAAATTTTGAAGTCATTTGCGTCCGTTCCGAAAAATCTTCATTCTAAAAACAGATATCCGCTAAATTTTAGGTATGAAGTGGTATCAACTGATTGTGTAATATCTTGCCTTGCAAATTATGAAAATACCTAATTTTGTATAGATCGCATTAAACAAAAATCTGCTGTAAACCCCTGTAAGAACTCGATCAGCAGGTCGTCTGACCGTTCGAATTTGACACAATTTTTTGTCAATAAACAATGAGCAATGGGCATGCGCAATAGTGCCTTGGAAGAAAATATCAAAGAGAGCATGCGCTGTTCTGCCCAGGGAAAAATAGTGATAAATATTCGGCGCTCTGACAAAGATTTGTTTTTAATAGTAAATTATATTTTATCACGTGATAAATGTGCGTTCATCTGTGGCAATAGACAAGTAACTATTTGACAGGTGGCTGGTGAAACCAACAAACTATATTATGACCCATGAAACCAACAAGTTCAATACACCTACAACGTCGACCTTGTGGGCTTTATGACATATTTGAGGGTTCTCGAGACAAAAGGGCGCGAAACATACATGCCGCATTCGTGAACCACATGACTACATTTCCTAGGTTTGACAAAACCGACAAATCTGAATTTGCGACTTCTGAGAACTTCTCTTTCAAAAAATTTAGTGGGCATCTGCAATTCCCCATGCTGCCTTGATTTTGATTTAAATATATTTATGTTTTTGAATATATTACGGTATATTTGTCATGTGTAGGCTACCCATATTGTAAACAAACATAGATAGAGGAATATGTCCCTTAACTGACAATAATCCGTGTATTATTGGTAATACTTCATCAGTTGTTATTGAACCTAAATGTGATCATTCTTATCTCATGCAAAACCTGAATTAAAAAATGATTCTTACTTTCGGATCCATTCATTTCATTCTCTTCATTTGAACTATAATCCAATTCAATCCTTCCATTTTCATACACTTTACAGATGCTTCCGTATGATGCAATGTGATATTGCATGACATGAACAATGGCGGAGAAGGCTTTGAACGATAAAACCAACCTCCAAACGAGAGGTCCATACCAGGGTGATGACAAAAATTGTTTACCAGGTCCCACGAAAAAATCGAATGCCAGCAGTGTGTCAAAGGTTCACGAGGATAAAAGCGTGCGACCTAAGGAGAAGGTGGACAGCTGGAAGATTACGAAGAGCAGTTCACCCGGAAAGACCCATTACATCGGTCCGAAAGACATTGCTGGCCACTTTGGAAAGAGGCAAGACGGAAGACATCAACATGGGCAGGGAGGCCAAAGGCAGCAAAGTGGAAGCAGGGTAGGAGGAAGACCACACTCTTCAAAAACACCATCAAAGACTGGGTCAAGCGGAAGGGCGGTAGACGTTGAAGGTTGCGGAACCAGCGTCGGTACGAATCATCAGCCTTCTCAACGTGGCAGTCGCTTGTAAGTTTTTCTCATTCACACCATCGTCAGTGACCTCTGTGAACACGGACGGGTCGATTTTAAGTAAAAAATTCTGCTAAAAATATTTCTACCTTACAAATGCAATTTCGTTTTACCATATCTATAATGTATTTTTTTCTTGTTGGGGGGGGGGGGGACGTTCAGTGTCTTTTTTGAAAAAGTGTGAAACATCTTAAATGTCTCTTTAAAAAAAGACTCTCTTCGGAGAACTAATTTTATAGAATTTTTTTCTTTGCAACTGTAGTTTGAACCAATGGAACCTTTTAAGCAGTGATGTCAGATCTATCTTTACAGAATACATCTTTATAGAGACGAAATCAATGACTGGATAGACAGGGCTTTAATAGAAGCTTTACACATTTAATATGCAGCTATAAAGTTAAACTGTCATGATCACATTTTCTTGAACTAAATAAATCATCATAACGATATAGTAGCAATGATATCATTAAGTCATATTTCTGCTTAAGAAAGTAGATGAATTTATACATATCGTTCTGACAAATGTTAATGTCTGAATATTATACAAGTTAAGGAAAGAGGCGTACATTAAAAAGAAAATGGCAAACGGAATGGGTTATAAAATACTGACCCTCGTATTTTTTTTACCTGTGTTAATAATATAAATGTATTTTTTTTTGCTAGATTGTGTATCTTGATCAAAAGTTTTATTACTTGTTACCACTATCAGTCTTAATTTTGTTCTTGTTTTTTAAATTTATGTATTGTACTTTTTTACCAAATTGTCTATGTCTACAAGTATTTGTGTTCAACTAACTTTTAGACGTAGACAAAGCTTTTGTGATTTGTTTCCAGCAAAATACTGCATAGGTTCTCCACCTACATTATTTATTTTCTTTTCTATTAATTCCCTCCAATTTTTAACCCATCTATTAGAGTATTTCCCCCAGGATCAAAGGACAAGCGTATGTTTCGACCTATCAGCTTACAGTTCTTAAACCAGCTCCTTCGGATGGAGCCTTCAGAGGCAGCAATTCAACTTGGTTCATTGAAAGGAAGTTTTATGGCAGGACTTGAAGAGGAGAACATGGATGCCAATAAACAGCGCTTATTTTGGGATGTTCTTGCCCATATTTCTGATAATGTTGGTGTAGCCAGTACTGTCATTATGCTACTTACGGTGGCCGTTGGCTCTAAACTCCTTAACATACACCTACCACTTCGTCTGATCCATCTGAGGGAGAGGGCACACCAAGGAGGTACACGCGAGTGTCTAGGTTTTATCGCTGTACTCGTCACAGTATTTGGATCGATGATCTCCAGCATACCCAGCCGGGCTGCAGAAATCAAGGTACCCTTGGTTCTCATGACAGACGTCGTGAACGCAATGGATGAAGAATCGACACAGGACATCAAGCCCTCTCTCGTTGCCCTGGTGCAATATATTGAGTCTGTTGAAGCGGAGAAAGAGTTCACGCGCCAGAAGCATCGGAATGCTTCATCTAAACCACCGCCAGATGACTTCCGACAGCAGAGTATTCTTCCAACTTATCAAGAGCTCACACCATCTTATCGACCATACTTGAGGCCTCATATAGTTAATGGAGTTTACCCTAACGCGGATCATTACTTTGACGTACACTTCAGGCTCATGAAAGAGGATTTCATCCAGCCTCTCAGAAGTGGTTTGGGGGAATACCTTCACAACAAGCAAGTTCATCCAGATAATAGGGTTAAGGTCAATGATATTCGGGTCTATGAGAACGTGGAACTGGTCCGACCCAAAACGGACAATTCGGGTGTTTCCTATTTGATGTCATTCAAGAGGCTACCTCATGTCAGATGGGAAATGTCGAAGCGTTTGATTTATGGCTCACTAGTCCTATTGTCGGAAGATGAATTCAAGACCTACATTCCAGCCACTGTAGCAAACAGCGAAGCAAAGCAACTTGCACGTGGGTTGGTTGACCTACGCCCTATAGATACAGGAATGTCATCTATTGTTGACAAAACATTTGTCATGGTGGAATCAACAGTTTTCTTCGAGGCATATCGACATGTCTTGGTCGGCCTACAACGGGTAAGCCCTGCAACCTTTCCAATGGCAGAGCATATTCTTGACCTTAAGCCCGACATAAAGCCCCCTACCTACCTAATGCAACTGAGCCATCCCAAACTTGACGTGTCGAACCTAATGGTTGACCGAAACCAGAGGAACAACGCTCGTGACATCTCTATGACTAAACTTGAGAAGGCTGCATCTCGAGTCCAGTCCCAGCACAAACGTAGTCCGAAACATGTTGGTCTGAAACAACACGAAATTGACACCCCCTTTCCTATATCAGTTCTAAATGGTGATGCCTGGCCTGCAGCTGAAGAAACAAATCTGAATCCATCTCAGCTAGAAGCAGTAAAAGCAGCACTCACACAGGAACTGTCCCTGATTCAAGGACCTCCTGGGACGGGAAAAACGTATATCGGATTGAAAATTGTGGAAACACTCCTCAAGAACATGCATTGCTGGTCAGATGAAGAAACAGGTCCTATCCTTTTGGTATGCTACACAAACCATGCTTTGGATCAATTTCTACTCGGTATCATGAAATTTCAGGATACAGGCATCATTAGAGTTGGAAGCCGAAGCAAGTGCATAGAACTGGAACAGCACAATCTAAAACAAGTCATTCGAGAGCAACGTTTCAAGAAGGATATGAGCAATGAGTACATCAAACGCCGTGCTGGGAATGTCAGACAAGAAACTACCTTTGCAAAGGAGGCTCTTGAGGACTTCCAAACCAGAATCCGGTTGAGTTCCCAGGGTATTCTGAGAGAGACGGAGTACAAGTGCTTTCATATTATGTCTGATGAACACTTCAACAGTATGATGATGATAGAGAGACTGGGGCATGTCGATTCATGGATGATAGAATGGCTTGTTCCTGATGATGAGATTGTGAAGGACTTTGCTCAAAATCACAATGAAGCGATCACATGTGGCAACAAAGACGAGGAAAGTAAAGGAAACGACACTCAGGAAGTTGAAACAACGGTAGAAAGTATCGAAGTGGAGAATGAACGAAAATTGGTCGAGGCACAGCGAGTGATCGATGATGATCTAGAAGATGATGAAATTCCTGAAGTGGAGGTTGTTAAGAACCAGTTTCCGCTAGCAGTTTATTTCGACGATCTCATGTCATCGGTTTACATGAACAGGAGACAGAACAGCTTTCTTAGGGAAAAGATTTCCATGCAAATGAAAATGCACGTGAATCAAGTTTCAAACGTTAGGGACGTTTGGCGGCTTGATATTCACCAACGTTGGGGCTTGTACCATTACTGGTTAAGCGAGTATATGGCGCTACTCGAAGCAGAGATCCCAGTACTCCAGAATAAGTACACTCAATTATGTGCCGAGCTGCGAGAAACAAATGACCTCGAGAAATGCTTGGTACTGCAACAAGCTACGATAGTTGGTATGACCACTACAAGGGCCGCTAGTGAGCGCGAAGTACTACAAAGAGTTAAACCAAAGATCATCATTGTTGAGGAAGCCGCAGAAGTGCTAGAGTCACACATAATCACATCGCTACATTCTTCCTGTCAGCAGCTAATCCTGATTGGTGATCATCAGCAACTCCGCCCAAATCCACATGTTTACCAACTAGCAACCAGATTTCACCTCGATGTGTCCATGTTTGAACGACTGGTAAAGAATGGATTCCCCTTCAAGAAACTCAAGCAGCAGCATCGTATGAGGCCTGAAATATCATCTTTGATGAGAGAACACTTCTACCCAGAGCTGGAAGACAACGAATCAGTGTATACGTACATAGACGTAAAAGGAGTGGAGAAAAACGTCTTCTTCCTCGATCACACCAACGGCGAGGGACATGTAGGCGAGACAATGAGTCATTACAATCTCCATGAAGTTGACTTCACGGTGGCATTGTGTAAGTACCTTCTGAACCAGGGTTACGAGCCGAAGCAGATAACCATACTCACTGCTTACACTGGACAACTACTGAAGTTCAAAGAGAAAATGGACAAAGCTACATTTAAAGGAGTCACGGTGGCTTCGGTCGACAACTACCAAGGGGAAGAGAATGACATCATTCTTCTTTCCTTTGTACGAAGCAGTCCGAATGGGAAGATAGGTTTCCTGAACATCGCAAACAGAGTGTGCGTGTCGCTGTCCAGAGCAAAGCAAGGGCTGTATTGCATGGGAAATTTTACCCTCTACTCTGACAAATGCGCTCTGTGGAAAGGAATCTATGGCGACTTGAAAGCAAATTGTCGTGTAGGCGACACATTGATGTTGCAATGTTACAACCATCCACACAACAGGACAGAAGTGGCAAGAGCAGCTGACTTTCGGAAAGTGCCTGATGGAGGATGTGGAATTCCTTGTGACACCTTACTCGACTGCGGGCATGTATGTAACAAATTGTGCCACCCAGCGGATCAGCTGCATCAAAATTACACGTGTCCTTACCCCTGCACCAAGAAATGTGAAAGAGATCATCCATGTTCTGATATCTGTGGAAACAAATGTCCACCATGTCGCAGAACGATGGAAAAGAAACTGCCTTGTGGACACGTCTGTATGATGAAGTGTTCTAGGGACCCAACATCAGTCAAATGCAGTGTGATGGTTGAAAAGAAAAAGCTTCCTTGTAAACACCTACACACCTTACCGTGTCATCTGGATGTCGACAGGTTTGACTGTCGAAATATAGTTCAAAGACACCTTCAGTGTGGTCACACCAAATTTGAGAAGTGCAGTGAGCATGGGATGTGCTCAGTCATTGTGAGCAAAGACTTACCATGTGGACACATTAAGGTGATGAAGTGCTTCCTGACGGAACAGCCTGACATTGTCTGTACCGAAATAGTTCTGAAGATTCTACCATGTTCTCATACAGAAAGACTTCAATGCAACGTTGAGCCAGACAAATTCCGTTGCCTTAAAGTTGTGAAAAAGACACGTCAGTCATGTGGTCACGTCGTGACAGAGGAATGCTCAGTAGAAAGTGATTGTTCCGACACTGTCTGCAAGAGCCTGCCGTGTGGTCATCAGAAGGATGTGGAATGCTGTAAAGATGTGCATAAGGTATTCTGCGAAGAACAATGTAAGAAGGACCTCGCTTGCGGCCACAGATGCTCCAGGATATGTGGGGACACCAAATTTGAGAAGTGCAGTGAGCATGGGATGTGCTCAGTCATTGTGAGCAAAGACTTACCATGTGGACACATTAAGATGATGAAGTGCTTCCTGACGGAACAGCCTGACATTTTCTGTACCGAAATAGTTCTGAAGATTCTACCATGTTCTCATACAGAAAGACTTCAATGCAACGTTGAGCCAGACAAATTCCGTTGCCTTAAAGTTGTGAAAAAGACACGTCAGTCATGTGGTCACGTCGTGACAGAGAAATGCTCAGCAAAAAGTGATTGTTCCTACACTGTTTGCAAGAGTCTGCCGTGTGGTCATCAGAAGGATGTGGAATGCTGTAAAGATGTGCATAAGGTATTCTGCATAGAACAATGTAAGAAGGACCTCGCTTGCGGCCACAGATGCTCCAGGATATGTGGAGACACCTGCGTTACAAAATGTAATGTGCTCGTAGCCCGAAGCGATTGGCCATGTGACCACAAAGTTACAGCGAGGTGTAGCGATAAACCGGATCCTTGCAAGGTCAGATGTCAGACGGACCTTGAATGTGGACATATATGCAAGGGGACATGTGGAAAATGTATGGGAGGGCGATACCACGTGCCATGCCGAGCAAAATGCGATCGTACTCTGGTCTGTGGTCATAAATGCACCCTTAGTTGTGTCAGTCCCTGTCTTCCTTGTTCTAAGAGCTGTGAAAACTTCTGCGACCACATGAAATGCAATCACCCATGCGGAGAAGCTTGCCCTCCTTGTACGAAACAATGCGACTGGAAGTGTCCACATCACAAGTGCAGAACGCTTTGCTGCAAAACATGCTCCAGACCCACTTGTGATGAACCATGTTTGAAGAAGATGCTGAAGTGTGGCCACCCCTGTTCCGGTCTATGTGGAGAGATCTGCCCAGAACTGTGCCGTATCTGCGACAAAGTGAAGCTGAAAGAAACCTCTTTTGGATCACAGGATACAGAGGAATCGAGGTAATTGAACATACTCTATTTCTCTGTGCCTATTACTTTAAAAATTAAACTATATCTCTCAATGCTTTTAAACTAACTGCTTCTTTCTGGTTTGTTTTAATCATGTTACTGTTTCTTCTCGGGCTTTACAAAAACAAATCATTTCAAAAACATATTCAAGAATCGACTTGAAGAGGTCCGCTTTGACGAAAAAACAGTAGTTATTACAATGAAAATAAAACACTGTCTTCTGACATATATGATGATATTATACGATTACATTCATTTTGAAATCATGGTATTAAAGCTTTCGTCATTTTGTTGTCATTTAGATACATACAATTGGAGGAATGCGGGCACGTCTTCGAGGTAACTGGTCTTGATAGGCACATGGGACTCAACCAGCCGGAAACCACCAACACACTGATTTCGGTAAAAAAAAACACTTACATATCTGAAATATTAGATTCACTATGTTTTGTAATGACATGCATCTAGCCATAAAGCGATCAGAATTATAGTTAATTTTCTTGAAAGGCAATTGAAGTCAATTTCATATAAAGTTGTGTGCAATAATAATAATGATTATGACAACAATAAAAATAAGTATGATGATGATAATGATAATATAAAAAATAATAATAACACCTATTATCATCATTTATTCAATTAATGTATGGTAGTGCATATCACATTATGGTATACAGTTTTCCCAAGGACTTTGAATATAAAGAAAGAAGAGTGAATCTGAGAGAGAAATACAAACATTAACTCAATACTCTTAATGTCAATTCAAATTTGTTGGGAAATCAGCTTGTACTAGAGAGCGAGGGTAAATAATTATCTCATTGCCAGAATATTGTGATGTATTGCAAAGTTTTTACCTAGACCAATCAATCTCTCCTAATTTCCACACAGTTGAAGAAATGCCCGAAATGCAACACGCCATTACGTCACAGTAGACGCTATGGAAACGTCATGAAGCTGGCGAAAAGACATGTGCTGCATGTTAAGAGGATACTGGAAGCCAGGAAAATGCTAGTGGCAGGAAAGTGTGTTATAAAACAGAGGATGACGAGCACTCTTACCCGAAGAAATCTGGGACCCCTAGGGATCGGGGAACAGGCAATAGGGAGATGGCTACGTATACACCAGGAGATTAGAATGGAACATGAACCAGCTATCATGTATCGACTGCAACTAATACGTACGTTGATGGAACTACAAGCAACACTAAGCGAGGGAACCAAGGATACCCAATTGCCCGGTGAGTCACGTCAGGATAAGTCAAGTCGCAATGCCCGACATTCTGTAAGGAAAGAACACATTGATGAGACGCAAGAACAGATAGCAGAGCTGGGTAATTCTCTTCTTAGGGATGCTGTCAGCTTTTCGTACCAAGAGGCTCATGACCTACACAGAGAAATGTGCAGGACCATGTACACGGTACTCCTACTGATCCGGGTAGTAAAGATTAAGGGTGGCCGAGGTATCCAGCTTTTTGAAGATGCTATCAAAGCACTCAGGAGAAAGATCCCCCTTTGCAATGAATGCTTAGAAAAGATACGACCGGTACTCAATGAATACTACCAAGCTACAAGCAGTAAACTGCTAGATATCATCCCGGAAATGACCTTTGCTCGTGACAGATGGTGTCGATGCCCAAAGGGTCACACGTTTATGATTCAAGAGGATGACTATAGTCTTCTTACGATGGACTGTGAGATATGCTTGCGTTTCAGAGCAAGAGAAAGTCCTATAAGAGCGTTTCAAGAAAGCCCACCAAGGCATACAAGTGCTTCCCCTGCTACTGAGGACCAGGGAGCGAAGGGCTTGAGAGAGGGTGAATTTCGTCGTCTGGCGATTGCAGTTCCAAGATGTGGGATACGACGGGGACCGGGGCAAATGCCGTACGACAACAAGCGAAGTGTTAAGAATAATCCGCTGATTCCAATTGACCCCGGGTCTTTAAACAGAAGTTCAGGAAAAGTGGAGAGTTCATCGCAAGGTGGTACAAGCACTGGGAAAAGCAAGGGCAGAAGAAATGAAAGACGATCTACCTTTCCGACTGCAAGTACGAAACCCCAAGCCAGCGCTGTTTCTAAGAAGAGGTCGAAACAAAAACCTAGCACGAGCCGTAATAAAAGTGCTAGTACAAGTAAAACTTATGCTCAAGGTACTGCAGATACCAGATCTGCTGGTGTACTAAGTACCACTATCAACAGAAGAGCCGGGCAACATTCCCATGGTGCATGTGCCAAGGACCAAACATCGGGTAGCAAGATGAACAGAGCTCCATTTTCTAAGCCAGTTGGGGCACCGCAGACTGGTCCAACTGCGTTTCAGGACACATCCAAAACTCGCGGAGCAAGTCGAGGAACACCAAGGAAGTCAGATAGCACCCCAAAGAACAAGGGAAAGCCACAAGAAAAGATGACGCCTAGTCAAGGGAAGGCTAAGACTCCCAAGTCAACAGGTGCTGGCGCCATAGCTGACCAAGGCCAGCATGGAACCTCTCACAGGCGAAACCGTGGACGAGGACGTGGGGGAGGCGGTGGAAACAGCCAGGTTGATGATCAAGAGAGTAGGCCTGGAAGGTCTGGTGATGATCAAGAACGTAGTGGTACAGGGGAGCAGGACAGTTCGAATTCCCGTCGAAGAAACCGCAGGAAAAAGTATAATGAAAATGAATAAGTGCATACAGTCAAACCTGCTTTATTGACCACCTGTCTACAAAGACCACATTTTTTTTTCCTTTGGAAATGGTTTCTCATTGTACTAATGGAACCTGCCTACAAAGACCATTTTTTCTGTTTCGCTTGGGCGGTCGCTATAGACATGCCTGACTGTATTTTAAGAAAATTTCAATTCAATATATTTCTAAATTCATTTTTCTTCCTTAGCTCCCCAAATACCCCCCCCCCCCCCACACACACACACACTGTTGGATATTTTTGATATCATTGGCTTGGATTATTAAATGTGATATCTGTGACATGAACTGAATAATATAGGGGAAAACAGATACACTGCGCCCTCCCGACACAAGTGCATGATCGTAAAACCGTAGCGGTATAGATCTTGACGATGCAATATTTAAGTGAATATGTAAA